ATGTGGTGGAGAAGAATGTCCTGGGTCTTGAGAAATCATGGAACTTCCGCCTTTGTTCACCTAATTCCTAAAGTTGCATGAGAAGAAGCATAATTGCGCTGCTGGAGACAGGAATCCAGCCAGACACAGACGTGAGTGAAGCTGCCTGAGTGCTCAGATCCTGCTGACTCCAGCGGGAAGAGCTGCAGGAGTGACCTGAGCTGCAGGGGTGACCCTGGCTGATACGATCAGGCGGAACCACCGGCCGGGCCCTGCGAACTCCAGAATCAGGAGACTTACTAAACCATTATGATTTTCAGCCATAAACTTTGGGGTGGTTTGTTATACAGAAATAAACAACTGAAAAAATTAATAATGCCTTGAAATGATGCTTATAAAAATATAAAATATATTTTAAAGTATCCTACTTTATAATCTCTAATAATTTCCTTCTGATCGTTCATATTTTCTAGATATAGAAGCATATCCATAAATACTTACTTACCTCCAAACTCTATTTTTTTCTTTGCATTCCTTGTTTAAATGTCAAGGACTCCGGTACAAAATTAGAGAATGTAGTCTCAAAGGGTACCCTTGTTTGGTTTCTGGATTTAAGGATATGCTTATAAACATTTTTCCATTAACTGTTATATAACTATTCGGAATAAAGTAGATACTTTTCATTAGGCTTTGAAGGTATCTCTCAGATCTTAATTTTTATTAGAAATAGGTCCTAATTATATGAGCTATACCCTTTTTGTGAAATTGATATAACTTTTAATTACTTCATCTACTGTAACTTATAATTAAAAGTTTTTCTTTTATTAAACCAGCTAAACTCTTGCCAATAACAATGAATGATCTTTTAAATGTACTACTGAATTTCATCTAAGTTTTCTCACATCAATATTCATGACCAAGATTGTCTTAAGATTTTTCTCTGTGTGTGTGTGTGTGTGTGTGTGTGTGTGTGTGTGTGTGNGAGAGAGAGAGAGAGAGAGAGAGAGAGAGAGAGAGAGAGAGAGAGAGATTAGGAAGGAATCCTATTATGCAATAAAGCTATTTCTGAATTTAAAGAAAAATTTGTACAAGGGCATCATTATTCTTTGAAACTTTGAAGATAATTAGCTGTAAACTTAGTTTCAGGTGATATTGGGACTTGGGGATATTCTCAGACAGTGCCCTCCACGCGTCAGCCTTTGGTAGCTTTTTATGCTCCCTTCCCCACTTCTTGCAGGAAGTGTCCAATTATCTTAATGACCAGATTTATTTCTATACATTGTAGCTGCTATACATTCCTCAGCAATTTCTTTATCTCTCTTATGTATTAGTTAATACTAATGTCCTTTCTGATTTCTAATATTATTCATTTGTACTTTTCATTTTTTGATCAAATTTATATTGGTTTATCCATATGCAAAGAAAATTGATCATTCGTTTTTTTACTTATAAATTGCACTAAAATCTAGCTTGCCAGTTTTTAAAAATATTATTTGATTTTTTTTCCTTTGTCTTCTTTCACAGCTTTTGTAGAATCTTTTAGAAGTACAGTTAAGTTGGTTAATTTTCATGTTTCTTTTAAATTTAAATAAATGTTTCTGAAACAATACATTTTGTTTAAGGAGTACTTTCTGGCTGCGGTCCAAAGATTTTAATAGGTAGCATCTTTTTCATTATCACTCACTAGAAAAGAAAAAGTACTCTTATTATGTTCCTTAATTTCTCCTAGCACAATTATTAGAGAAATATTTAATATTTTCCAAGTGGTAAGTTTTTTGTTTGTGCTTTCTTCTTTTTCTTATTTAATCTGATTGTCACCACCTTGTGCTAAGAAATGAGGTATCGGAACGCCTGTCCTCTTTGATGCCTATGCACGGGATACCTGAGGCTCTCACCCCCAAGAATACTGTCCGTATTATGTTCTCTGCACCAACAGAGTTTAAACAGAGCTAAGCAACCATGGGGCAGAATGACTGGGTGCCTTTGCTCTCTTCTTGAGTGGCATAGCAAAACCTTGGCTCTTAAACTCATGTGACCAGTGTCAATTTAGCTCTTAGACAGATGAATACATGAGAAGCCAAAGCGTGGAGCGTAAATGAGGTCGCTCAGTGGTGGTGGTGGTGGTGAGGCACGCCTGCCCGGACGAAGTGTACCACAGGCTTTATGGAGGCCATGGAATCTCAATCCAGTAGGCAGATACAGTCCATCCTTTACGCCTGTTTTCAGAAGTACTAACTACTTTGTCAAAGCATGGGCACAGCGTTATTCCAGAGGGTGTCTGGGCTTAGTAAGGTGTCTTGAAGTGCCTTTCTCAGTTTGCGACACCTTAACAGGCACATGGGGGTTTTCTTGGACTATCTTTTCTTTATGATGTTTAGTCTAGATCAGAAATGGCTTTGAGGACTTGTAGAAAGAGATGAAGTTAACAGCAGGGCAACGGGGTTAGTTAGTTAGGTGAAGATGTTTCTGAAAGCGCTAAGGCGACTGATCACACCCAGTCCCCACCACACCAACCCCTGCCCGAGTAGAGCTGATGCTGATAAGCCAGGGGTCTGGAGCTGCAAACTCTCAGCTGAATTTTCCTGAGCTGACTGCTGTCTCAAGGTGTTAAGCTACTCTATAGAGTAGCATGAAAAATTACTGAAATTTTTCAACACAACATTAACTCTTTCTATATTTTCTGTATGCATTGTCTGGAAACTTCTGGAAGGTCAGGTAACCAGGCCACCGGCCCTGGCAAACAGCACCCCAGTCGTGTTTCGCTGAGCTGCCCACGTGTCTGAGACACTGGCTAGAGGAGTCAGCCCCTCATGCTTCTCTCTCCTGTGTCCCTGGTGCTAACTGCCAGCTATACTAGAACTTCAGCTCAGAAATACCCTCTGATGAACAGAGCTGGAGGTTCAGGACTGAAAGAGGCTATACAGCCATTTTGGAAATGGTCTTCACGTTATAGGCAAAAAGACTGAAGCCGCGTGCAATGAAGCAGGTGCCTCAGAGGGCTCCTGCTGAGTGTTTAATGTTGGCAGCAAGTATGTACATCAGGGTAGTTAAGTGACTAGTCCAAGGCCCACGTCCCAGCAGTAGAGCGGCGATCACAGCCAGAATCCCAGATTGATAACTCAGTCACGGCTGCGTGTGCCATTTTTTTCAACCTCCTATTCGCCCCCCAGCTCCCTGAAAAGATCCATTGCATAGCAGCAATTTTATGCTGAAGGGGTGGAAGGAGCCAAACAAAGACACAAACGAGGGTGGGTACAGAGATCAGGTGATAAATCTTGTTTTAAACCTGAAAAATGAGCACAAATGCAAAAGGACCTCAGAGGTTAACACCTACGCTGTGAGCAGCGATAGCTCACGCTGCATAGCACCTGTACTGAATACCTACCTAGTCCTCTGTACCAGCCCTTCTGTTGGTTATCTGGCCATGTGCTTGACAAAGATAAGATAAAGAAAATAAGCAGCATTCCCTTGAGAAACTCCTCACCTAATAAGAGACAGGCTGTGAAGAACGCAGGATTCAGCGTGGTAAGTACTATGCAAGCACTTAGGTACTGGGGGGCACCCAACGGACGTTTTACGTTCTCCTGGGGTCAGGAGGAGAACACAGTGTGGAAAGAATGTGCCAGAGACAGTTGCTACCTGCTGCCTGGGTGGCTTTGGATGGAGGTGCAGACAACATTCCTGCCCTTCAGGGCGGGGCCACATCGCATCTAGGCCAGTGCTGGGCGCCAGGAAAGAATGTGCCGCGGGCCTGGGGTTTTTCCAATACATAACCGACTTCGCTGGGCATTCTGAAGCTTCCTCAGGGAGCAAGGATTTTGTAAGGCAGCGAACCCAAAAGCAGTCTCTCGCCTTCTATTATGGGGCCCTACAGTAAGAGCCCATTCATTCTGCAGAGATGTCCTCCTAACAGAGCTTCCCTCTAACCTGTCCCTCATGTCTGAATTAACTGCAGAGTAGTCCCCTCCAGCCCCAAGCATAAGGCCCTTCCAGCAGGGTAGGCTTGTGGGGGATGGGCAGTTACTGCAGCCACCTCCCCACTTCTGCAGCAGCCTTACCTCAAAGCACAGCTGCTGCTCCCACGGGAGAATCCATTGCATCTCCTGAAGCCTGGCAGTCACAGGTGATGGGGGCCCAGTGACCAGAGACTGGGAAGGGGAGTAAAGGGTGGGGGAGAGAGCAGGGCTGCCCAGGCGGCTGTGGCCCCTTCTGTGGGGACGCACAAGAGACCCTCACACACGGCCCTAGTAAAATGACCCCACCTCCTTTTGTCAGTTGTACAGTCACCCCAGGAGCAGAAGCTGTCATTATAGTAGGTGGCAAAAAGTCACCATTTCGGGTCACTGGCTGCGCATCTACTCACATGTGAGGTCCTGAGCATGCAAATAGAGCCAGCATGTTCCTTGTTTGCCCACCTTTACCTGCGAGCTAGAAAAAGGAGCAGCAGCTTCAACCTTCTAGCATCCCAAAAACAAACAATGGTGGGTGTTGCATGGCTGCTGGAAGGGCCCTTAGGGATCAGCCGGCCCAGCCACCCTCACCGACCACACTGTTAGAGGGAGGACAGTGAGGCCCAGACGGGCAGGGGCAGACGATGCCACCACCTGCATTCCCTCCAAATCACCAGACTCCCAGCTCTGGGCTCGTCCTGCAACGGCAGGCAGCTTCGAGCTCTGAGGGTTCCCCTCCCACCTCCCCTCACTACGCTGGGAGGAAAGACATAATCTGCACCCTGAATATTTACCTCTACAATTCAGGGAAGAAAATGGGGGTCCAAGAGGAAAAGTGACTAGCCCCAGGTCACAGCTGGTGCCTGAGCTGGAATTCAGGTTTGGGATCCTTTGCCCATTTCACTGAAAGACACAGTCTCTTGAAGGAAGCACCCTGAGTCACAGCTCAAGGCTGCCCATCTCATTTTCATCTTCAAAGGTGGAAAAGCACCCCAACGTTCACCCAGACACCCTGAGAACAGATGTGTTCCCTAGGTTTCCGCTTGGGGCCCCAAGGCTGCAAGTCTTTACCTTCAAACGCCCGTGCGGCATCCACAAGGTGGGACCAATCTAAGCCTGTGCCCGCGTCCGGGAGGGGCATCAGGCCAGGGTCTGTGCACTTGGACTTGTCTGATAGGGACCCGTCGGAGAACCAGAACTCACCTAAAAAAGACAAAGCAGTCAGTCAGGTCGCGGCACAGGGCACCGGCCTCCTCCCCGCTTCTCCCAAAGGAGACATGACGCTGCAGTTACCCCAAAGACACACAGCTGGAAAAACGGAGGTCTGTAAAAATGCCGTGACCTACAGGCTCACTTAGAGGGCAGCCAGCCCCAAAGACCTGGGTCGAAGGAGACTAGGACCAAGTGCTGTACAGGTGGGAACCGCGCAGAAGTTTCCTCTAGGGCAGGCCTCTCTTAAGGACATCCATCTGAGTCTTACTGAGCTTGGGACACTGTGCTGCCTTCTTCAGGGGTGACAGCCCCCCTTTCTAAAGTGTCCCAAGCTTCTATTGTACAGAGGGCTGGCACACTCTCTCTCTAAACAGGAAGTCTGACAAGTGTCCTGAAGAACAGTTATCTATGCTAAGTACCCAAATTCGAGGTGCCTCAAATATCAGTTTGTTATAAAAATGCAGGAAGACTAAACTTCATTTCCATTATTAACGAACAAGAAAGAAAGGAAACAGTATTTTACATGCCATGCACAAGAATGGTGGCTGGATTGCTTTGTTGGCTTAATGAGACGGCCGGGTCACTGGCTAAACCAGAAACCTCTCCCAACCAGCGCCGAAGGTTCGGTGGTCTTCCTCTGTCTGGACAAACGGGGCTCTGACAATTCTTTTTCTCTTTAAACTGTTGTCACAAGACTGTAAGTGTTTCTGTCATTAACACTAGGTGTTAAGAGCTCATTATGCATCTGGGGACACATTTTCAAAAGCTTCCACTGGACTTGCTCTACCGTGCCTTTTCTAAACCTGCCTGGAACCTTGCACGCAGCTGCGTGTGAACACATCTGACTAATTAGACCCAATCAAAATAATGACCACCTGGCTGTCTGAGGCTGCAATTACATTAAGTAAGGGACATAATTAACTGAATGCACCTGTAATTTTTGTTCCCACATCCTTTCGGGTGGCTGGGAAATGCTGGCCTCTGGACTGAGGAGACAGCGTCTGTGATCTGGCCTTGGAGGGACAGTGAGAGTCCTCCGCACTCTCCACAAGGTTCCCATGCATCTCTCAGCCAACCTCTCACAGATGCCACTAGCCCAGTCCAACCACTGTTTTAAATATGGCCACGCACAGACGTGATAATAGCCCACCAGCCTAGTCTCAGGCTCTTTCGAAGGTAACCCAGGAATGGTTATTGTGTCAGCACCATTTCCAACACTCTCCACGTGCTATGCTCAACTTCTTTAAAATAACCGCTACTCCTACATGTTGTGTGTGTGATGTACTCTGTCCACTTGCCGAGGGCTGGACCAGGAGCACACGGAAGCGGCAAAGCTCGCGTGGGAGCTGGGGGGCGGGGGGCAGTCCGCTCTTGCAGTCTCTTCTCTGGAACCCAGGCAGGCCCTGAGCAGGGGCAGGGCCACACCCTTCCCAGGTCCTGGGAGGTCTCTAACCAGAAGTCTGAGGCTCAGCCCCCAGGCAGGAAGCTAAGGACCCTTCAGTCCCTGACTTGGAGCTTCCTTTGTGTCTCCAACACACCAGCTGCTTTGCCTGGAGCTGGTTCTCTGCACAAAGTGCAGAGAAATTATGTAACCCAGTGGCAATTACTTAGGTCACTAATTCCCAGGTGACGAGGTTCTACAGGAATGGGGCAGGAGTGTGGCGGCCCTGGGCAGGGTGCAGCGCCGGGCAGGCTGGAACCCGGTGTGCAAGGGGCCCTGTTCTCGCTCTTCGCCTTCCTTCCCTCATCGGAGAGGAAAGCATCGGAGTGAAAATGACTCAGGGGATGAGCAGTGCTACAGCAAGCACTCTGCCAGTCCGGTTTTATTAAGAAATGCTGACTTGAGGATTTTCTTTACCTTTCTAAAGAAAGAATTCTTCACCTGAGCTGTGGTATCTTAAAGCCTAGAGTCGGACCTAAGGCACACTGTATGCTGTCCACTTTCCTGACGCCACCAGACAACATCCTTACGGGCCCTATCAGAAACCAGATCGAGAGAAAAAATGAGGGAGCGCACAGGAGGGACACATGCAAAGAGAATGGAGGGGACAGGACCATAAGACTTGGTGGCCAGGGCTGGCTCAGGGGATGAAGGTCGAGGCTAATGTCCCCTGCTCCTGCTCCTCGTGTCTCCCGCAGCTGTGTGCACTAACAGCTGTCTTCCCCAAACACCCAATGCAGTATTGACAGTGGAGACCTGACAGTCTCGGGTTGATGATGAAAGCTTTGACTCCCCCTGAAGTTAGTTGCACGGTAGATGGCCATCTGTCATTTGAGCCAAGGCACCAATCCGAATCTTGGTGGCTGGGAAGCTGATGCCTAGAGCAAGCGGGCAGGTGAGTGGGCCCGGTGTCCCCACTGCAGGGCAGGCCCAGCAGCTCCACAGGTCTCACTCGCGGCCTTGCACCAGCTCACGCTGACCCCATGCAGAGTGGCCCTGATGCTTTGGGACCTGGGACTGTCTCACTAGGGTGTAAGGGTCATAAGCGCCAGGCATCCTACTAACTTCCTCCAACATTTATGGGAAATAAGGAGCAAAAGGGGGAATACAGTGACATTTCTTGTTCATTACAAACTCTTATCCCCTCTCCCGGAACTGTGAGCGGGATTTCCGTGTTAATTAGATGCCATGAAGCTGGCAAAGACGGTTCGTAGATTAGAAAAGTCCTTCCCTTTAGAGCTTATCAGGAGTGCTATCCACCCCCCCACCCCCCCGTCTATCTATGATGTATTTATTAAATGACTGCCGCATGCCTAGTGAGGGGGTACAGCAGTGGGTAAGACGAACAAGGCCAGCCTCTCACTAAGCTTACAAGTGACAGGGAAAGAGACAATAAACATGTAAACAATAACATGCAAACAGTGACAAGTCTTTCAAAGAAAATCAAACAGAACGATGTGACTGAGGAGGTCGGCGGCATGTTTGGGGAAGGCTCCTCCGAGGGGGTGACAGTCGCTGGGAAGGGAAAGGCGAGGAGCACAGTTCTGCGAGAAAAGTGAGAAAAGTCTTTCAGGAAGCGGGAGGGTCCCAGTGTCCGTGACAGCCCCTTAAATGCAGTAAGAGCTGCCTACATTCCTCTCGGAATTATCAACATGAAAAGCACCAGTTCCCTCATTGCTTGGAAAATAATTACCATCTCTCTTTTTTTAACCTGAGACCCCAAACCACCAAAAATCCTTCATAATATTATACCTTTCGCTGGCATCACGGTATCACTACTGCCATCACCTAGGACAGCGGTTCTCAACCTTCCTAATGCCGCGACCCCTTAATACAGTTCCTCATGTTGTGGTGACCCCCAACCATAAAATTATTTTCGTTGCTACTCTATAACTGTAATTTTGCTACTGTTATGAATCGTAATGTAAGTATCTTTTTGTTTCCCGATGGTCTTAGGCGACCCCTGTGAAAGGGTCGTTCGACCCCCAAAGGGGTGGCGACCCACAGGTTGAGAACCGCTGACCTAGGAGATATCTATAAGCATCTACTACCTTCCGGGGCCCACCAGGCACGACATTTGCACTAGGGGTTAAATATGACATGGGTTCTACCCTGGACGAGCTCAGTCCACAAACAGATGAACCCCGATGCTGCTGGTCTGTGGGGTTTGGGTGAGGTCCGCGCACTGAGCCGTCCCCTGGGCACCGTGCCGCACTGAGCTGTCCCCTGGGCACCGTGCCGCACTGAGCTGTCCCCTGGGCAGTCGTACCTAGACTGTTTCCTGAGTTGACAGGTGGGGGGAAGCAAAGGCACCTCCTGTCTTAGGTACAAAGCCTGTTATTTCAAATGTAGCTCGCCCAAGTCACTGTTACCTCCAGAGCCCACCCTGGTTGTTTGGCCAATTCAGAAAAGAAAGTGACTCGTGGATTCTGAGAAACAACGAATGTCCCTGCTCTTGGCCCCAGGACGCTGATCTCGTGGTTTCCTGTTCCTTTGTCCCACACCTGGCATCACAGTGACCACCTTCATGGAGCCTGACATGGCTGTTGTCACAAAGGTAAGGAGCCTTCCTGCACAGCATTTCCTGGGTCAGATACCTGAGGTTTCACAATTACTCTCCAGAAACCCCTGGACATTTATTCAGGGGATATTGAGCACATTTGAAAAAAGAGAATGAGTCCGTCAAAATCCTGCCTCTGTCAGCCCATGCACACCATCTGTAAAGCTGACCACAGCACGCAAGGGTCACGCTGTGTTAGTTAGCAGCTCCTATCACCGGCACACACACCAGCCCACACCTGGGGTCTGCAGCACCCGGTGTGAGCACCACATGATAAGGAAAATGCTGATTTATTTATTCTAAAACTCCACCCCTCCTTCCTTTAATTTCAAGGGGCATCCTTTGTGAGGTGCCTAGGTCTAAACTGTAGGACTCAGGAACACATATTGAGATAATACTGTTTTTATTTTCTAGAGCTTAAGAGCTCTCATTAGTCTATCCTCATAGGAAGACTTCCACAACAAAGAATCAGGAATTCTCTCTAAACGTGTGATGGGAACCTGCCAGTACTCGGGGCTGCAGCCAGATGTCCAGGTCACGGAGGGAGAGAACACCACAAATACTTCGCAGTGTCACTGCTTAGCTGGCCTGCGAACTGTGTGTCCAAACGGCCATTCCCCATTTCCTTTTCTCTCTGAGCCGCTGAAGACGTTTTGTTCAGACATCCGGTAGTAATGGAGGCAAACGCAGGCCCTGAAGGCCCCGCAGAGCCATTTCGGAATCACATTCACTTGTTCTACTGGGCTGTATGTTCACACCTCCCAGCTGAAGACATAGAGATACAGCCGATTTCAGTGACTTCACAGGAAATGCTATGAATCATGACACGAAACACACCCACAATGGGTTGGTCACACATCTGTCTCACAAGGTTGGACTAAGATCTTGATCTCATGAGGAGAAAGGTTCTGAGATGGGTTCAAATGCAGGATGTTAGAAGCTAAGGACACCCGAACCAGAAGCCTGTGGCCTAATCATTACAGTAGAAAAGGTACAGCGACGAGGCCTGCGTGACGAGATGTACTTGTTCACCCTTCCTCACACCTTCCTCCACGCTGGGCCTGAGGCCTGCAAGTGTCTCCCAGTGGAGGGCTCTGTGTCTGAACAACACACACTTCCTAGGAATGCCCAAGTTTTAAAGTTGAAAAGAGGAAAACGTGAGACTTCTGAGTTTGCCTGGGTCTATTTCTACAGCTACTCAGCCATCCCGTGCGAGAAGCTTCGACAGAACCAGTCCCCACTCCAGGTTTTAATGCACAGCGAAGTCTCTGAGCAGCTGAGAGAAGCACCTGGGCAATCAGAGATGCTCGCAGGTCGCCCACACACACCTGCTCAGCATCAGAGCTCACATTTCAGCCTGTGGGTTCCTGCTTCAGGCTGCCCAACTGCTGTCAGGGCACTAAGGCCCCACAGAGGCTCTGCTGGGACCACGAGAGAGACACACGGCTCAGGTCCATCTTGAGTCTGTGCAAAATCCAGAACCACACAAGTGAGTGTGGGAGACCAAGGCCCTCCAGAGGGGCCTCGAGGCTGAACCCCCCTGGGCAGGGTGGAGGGAACCAGAAGATTTTTGGGGAAGACACAGCAATACAAATTACTTCTAGCTCCTTCATTTACAGTTTTTCATTTTACCCACGAAACCTGGAGAAATTTTTCTGAGTCATTTGTTAAGTATAGAAATTGGAAAAGTCACACTGCCAAGAAAGAAGGTTTCATTAGAAACAGCGAACTGCAAGGCCATGCTTACTGCTTTTCCTGGAGATAGGAACAGTGAGGACGAGTGAGACAGTCTGAACCCGGAAGTGATGTTGCAGTGACAACAGTGCATCCTGCCTGTTTCCTAGCTGTGTCTCCATACTGCGAACATACTAAAAAGGACGCAGTCCCTCAGCGGGCGATGTGTTAACAAACTGTGGCCCATCCAGACAATGGAATATTATTCAGCGCTATAAACAAATGAGCATTAAACGCCTATGACTAAGTGAAAGAAGCTAATCAGAAAAAGCTACATCCTGTTTTATTCCAACTATATGACATTCTGGAAAAGGCAAAAAAAAAAAATAGACACAGTGAAAACAGCAGTGGTTGCAGGGGTGAAGGGGGAGGGGGGGAGAGGGGTGACCAGGTGGGACATAGAGGACTTTCAGGGACGTGAATTATTCTGTGACACTATCATGATGGTTACATGTCATTAGATATTTGTCTAGACCCATAGAATGTACACCACCAACAGCAACTCTAATGGAAACTATGGACTTTGGGTGACAATGATGTCTCAGTGCAGGTCATGGGTTTAACAAATGTACCACTTTGGTGAGGGATGTTAACAGTGAGGGAGCCTGTGAGTGTGGGGGGTCGGGGGTGCATGGGACCTCTCTGTGCTTTCTGCTCAATTTGGCTGTGAACCTAAAAATGCTCTAAAAATAGTTTTTAAAAAGTGAAGCTAAAAAAAAAAAAGATACATCTCTTCCACACAGAAGCAAACGAAGGGTACAATGTACTACATTAATACATATGTCATACATTTCACGAATTTCAAATGACTAAAATAACATTTGCAAAAACCTAGTTTTACTTGTTTTACAAAAGCTTTTTAAGAGGACATTAAAGTTACCTATTTACAATAAAAAGGAAAAACATTTATATTAGGGTATTAGAATACGCCTGTCTGACCTGTCATATCGTTATGAAGAAGTTTAAAGGTTTCTTCAATTTAAGCAAATATAGGCAGGGTATTATGCTACTTAAAGAAACCGATTAAAAATTTTATGGTATAAGGTTCATTTCTAATTATGTTAGACATTAGCAACATTATTAGAACCTTTATTTCATTTAGCCCAGGACGTCTATATGAATTATGAAGTTCAAATTGGTTTTAAAGATAGTGCTGTCTAGGATGGAAGTTAAAAAATACCTGACAATGAATACACTTCTGATTAAATCCCCATTCTTTCTGTACAACAGAAATTAACTATGAAGAAACGAAATAAAGCTAATGTAAAAAACCATCCTTAAACACTGACACTTTAATAAGGAACTGACATTATGTAAAAATCGGGGCTTTAGGATGTTAAGAACTATCATCTACAAAGTATCTAGTCGACCAGTGTCCCTAAATTGGAGTACACGGGAGGGACACGGAGCACAGGACGCCCAGCCCAAGGGGAAGTCTGGTCCCCACACGGTCTCCTGATCCACCAGCCACCTTGCGCATGGCCAGGAATTAACTCAAGGAGAAACAGAAGGCGAGAAAGCCAAACTTTCCTTGTTGCTCCCTGCCCACCAAAAAATCTACCCGCTCCCCCACCCCAGTATATGTTTTTTCTTTATCAAATCGGGTTTTAGACATTTTTTCTTTATGGGTGTAATAGCTGAGATATGGTATAAAGCTCACTATTTTACTTGATAAAAATGTTTCATATGGGTTTTCCAATTTTCTTCAAAATTGGTAGTATTGTTTAACTTCTAAAAAATATCCACCCTGGGGGCTTTTATCATATTAAAAAAGAAAGAAAAGAACACACACCACCAAACGGTATATATTTTAAAAATTAGCGAACCACCCCCTTCCCCGCAAAGCTCCGCAGGCAGCAGCCAGCCTCTCAGCCCCGCTGTCGGGCGCCCCACCCCCAGCTGCTTCGCCCCCACTTACTTCGCAGGCTGCCCAGGCTGGGCGCGTGGGTGCGCGGGGGCCGCGCGCTGCGGTAGGGTGGCGTGGTGCTGAACAGCACGTCGCCGGGCAGGGCCTGGTCCAGCACCGAACTTCGGGAGCTGCCAAAGGACGAGCCCCTGCGATGGCTGCAGATGCTCTCGTCTGAGAGGGTGCGGCACAGCGAGCGGCGAGGGGACAGGTTCCCGTAGAAGGAGAACTAGGGGTTTAAATATGGAGAGGGGAGCGGAGGGGGAAACAGACATTAAAGGCTGAGAGCATGCAGCTGACTTCACTGAAGCCGCTGGGTTCACACAGCTCTGTGATCTGGCTGCAGTTTTCCCCCAGGCAGGCGGGGGTTGGCTCAGGAATGCCACCCCAGGCATGCGGGTCACCCAGGCACAGGTGCCCTTAAGGGACTTGAAGGATTCCTCCTGTGACATTCTGTGAAATAGTATCACCGAATTAGACGTGCAGGGCTTTATTAATTCTGAAGTGTTAAATGGTACCTCGGTAGCCTTAGAGCAGTGGAAGCTCCTGGAAATACAGGAAGTTGCCATTTCAGCCGGCAGTTATGCAAAACCACACACAGTGCTGGCTTGATTTTAATGAGAAATGACTACATTTTAATATTAGGCAATTTCTGTACCAATCAACTGTATAGGAGGTTCAGTGTAACCTATGTAGTAAAACTATTCTGAACACTGTGGCTTTGGTGGCCATACAAACAGGTTCAAGAACAATTAAATCAGTAAAATATTATTGTTTACTTTAAAATACCACTCACTTTAATTCTAATAACTGATCATGACCATATTTAAAGGCACCATTAAAATTATTCTGTTAAATCACACACAGGGGGAAGGAAAAGTCTTACAAAAGAAGCAAGTAGCCAAATACCCCCCAAAAAAAGAAAGAAATCTGAATTTCCAACTACTTCTGCACACTGAGCCACATTCCTTTTATATAAACAATGGTAAAAGCCAGAATGTTTGCATCAAACAAATATAGAACTGGCTATTTACATTTGTGAATGCAGCGAGACAGCTAAAAATATTTCTATTGTATGCGTTCCTTCCACTTTGTCAAGTCTGTCCGACTGATGAATGAGAACTGCAGAGTGTGGGACTACAAAGTTAAATTTACACTGTGGAAAGGAGGTGGTTTGTCTTAGCAGGAAAAAGCCCATACACGGTCAAGGAGAAGTTCATTCCTAGTAAAGGAAAAGCTACTAGCGCTTGTACTTGCACTCATGTACAAGTCTGCATCCATACTTCTAAGGATGGCGCAGGACCCGATACAAGCTAGAAACAAAGACTCGTTACCACGGAGTTCTTCTGGGATCCCCCTTTCACAGGGCGGGCAGGTGCTTCACAGGAGATTACAGGCACATCGGAGTACAGCAGCCCTGAGGCACTGCCTAATTAGAGGGCTGTGCTACATCCCAGGCAGGACGTTTTATTACAGGGAAGGCACACGCACAGGACTTGATGTTTGCCCAATCATGGTCCATAGAGTTAAGACCAGAAATTTTTTCCTTGTTTTAACTTTGGACAAGAGAGCGCGCTGGCTAAGAAGCAAGAAGATCTGGATTCCACCAAATATTTATGTGACTTTCACAATTCACCATTTGGGGCCTCAGTTATGTGCAAAAAGAGGAGATTGTACTGAATTACCTGTAAGTCCCTTTTAAAACTTTCTATTATTTAGCAAAGTGGCTTAGGAGACTGTAATAGTAATGACACTAAAGCTAGTAAGGGCAGTAAGGGAATCTAATGTTAGCTAGGGACCTTGAACACGAGGGTGGCAGGTAAGGCAAATGTGGGGCCTTCCCTCGTGATTGCAGCATAATTCATATGGCACAGTCCAATTCCAGCCTATGTGTGACAGCGGCAGGCAGTACAGGATCTAACTCCTGCCCGGTCCTGGAACAGGATTACCTCTGAGAGGGCAGCTTGGAGCAGAGGGTGCAGTTCTACAGCCAAAGTCAGGTGGTGTGAATCTTAATAGCTACTGCTCCCGGTCACCTGTTATGTCCAGGCACCATACGAGGCTCTGCCCATGTTATTTCTTATATTTGCTACACCTCTGTAGTTCACTGATTATCTGTCTCCTTTTTACAGAGGCGGACAAGGTACAAAGTCACAAAGCTGCTTGTTGTTGCAGCTGGGATTTGAGGCCAGGCCCGCCAGACTCTAGCTCCCTCTGTCCATTCTGGAAAGTGGCCCTGCCTAGCCTCTCCCAGGCTCGCTTTGCTTCTGGATAGAATAAATACTGAAAATAGCCAGCCGTGTGCAGAGCTATTGGTGGGATCACAAGATAACACAGACGGGAGTATTCTGGGAATCCTCAAGTCTCTTTAGATTTTCCTTTAGTGTTTCTAGAAGTTTCAAAGCCCCCAAATGCCACTGACCTTTCTTCTCCCCTCCTCCACTAATGGGCTATCAGGAAGCATCAATTTCACAAAATCTTCTTTTGACAGGATGTGTTGAGTTTCTGAGATAGCGTCTCCCACCACCGTCTGATGTTGACTTGCTGTGGACATGAGATCCATCTCTCCGTACAGCCTGTTGGAACAAACCAGAAGGGGGATGAGAAGCAGTGGTCAGTCTGTGTGTCAAGTGCCTGTAGCATTAAGAATTAAAGTCCCATAACTATTTTCAACAACCATATACACATACGCACAACTCAACTGTTAGGTCAATTCACTTTTGCGGCATTTGCCCCAGATTCCCATGTCTATTTGTGAAATGAGCTCAACTGCAAAGTTAGATTTCTGAATAATTCAGAAACCAATCAGATCCCCAAAGCCCCGGATGAGAAAAAATGGAGCCAGCTTTTAAAAGTAAGGCTGTACCTTTCCATTCCTATTCTGTGTCAGAAAGCACAGTTGCAATAATTCATCAGAGAGTATCGTATGTCCTCGTGCTTCTCAGAAACGTGAGAACCTTTCTCTTGAGGCTGGACAGCCAGCCACACCCCGTGTCTCACCCAGGCATCAGAGAGCGAGCCCCCCGAGGGAGCCCGGAGTTTAACAGTAATCAATTCAGGCGTGTGCCAAGCATGTTTTATTACCAGCAATTCCGCAAAGCTGTTTGGATAAATAAAGCAGCTGTCTCCCTTAATTATCAGTATATAAAAATGGATTTATGGACAACAAAAGACTGTCTAGCTGAATTATTGTTTTCAGCTCTTTTCCACAGAGAAAACTGGAGGTCGTTTCTAAAAGGTTTCCTCTGGAAATGCAATCTGAGCAACCAAACGTTCCTGAAGACACAGTGAATTATCAGTGGTTGTACTGGAAGTCTTGTCGGTGGAGGTGAACGGTCTTTGCCACGCGATCTGAAACATAAGGCTCTAGGAATGCATGGCCCAGGGCAGCAGGCACCAGAGGGTGACCTGTATGATGTCGTGTGTCACTGAGATGACTATTTCAAAGCAAGGCCATCTTGTCACAGTGTGAAGGCTCACTGGGAAGTTATCAGAATAAGAAACTCACACAGACATGCTCGAAATTAACAAGGATTTCTCTGGAAATCTCTATGGCTTTTGCTTTACTCCTGGGCTAGGTCTCAGTTCTGGAAGCACCAGGAACGCTGACAACATGAACAAACAGGGGCTGTGAAAGCAGCTTTTAAAAATGTTTAAAATGCGACTAAAGATTTGGTTGGCTTGTGAAATGGCATGACATGAAAACGCGGACCACAAGAGGAACCCATGACCCTGGTGGGCTTTGCACAAAAGCCACAGAGGGAAAGAACAGTTGAGGTTTGGTGAAGAGTGCCTCTAAGCAGTGCCCAGCCTCTGACCTGAGAGTGGGGTTGGGAGGTTCTCAGGAGCACCTATGTGCTGTGGGAGAGATGGAAGGGACAAAACCCCAGGGCCTGGCAATAACTGCGTGGATAAAATCAGACACCTCTGCAACTGACCCCTGAACAATGTAGGGGTTAGGGGTGCTGATCAATAACATAAGCTGTGGATTAACACGTAATTTGTATGTTATGTGAAACAGGTCATAAAACCCTCATGTGAGGGGTGCGTGCCCTTCATATCTTGGAGAAATCATGCTACGGCTTATTCTCCAGCTAGGTCTTATTTTGGGGGAAACACGATAGGTATTATATACTGTATTCTTATAATAAAGTCAGCTAGTGAAAAGAAAATGTTACCAAGAAAATCATCAGGAAGAGAAAATACATTTACAGTACTGTGTGCATTTATCGATACTGTAAGTTTATGTCATGTTTATAAGGTGAAAAAGATGTGCATGTAAATGGACCTGGCAGTTCAAACCTGTGTTCAAGGGTCAGCTGTAATTACTATTAAAATGTGCTATTCTAGTTTCCCTATGTGTTTGAATAAAAATCACCAGCCTTTTCTGCTAAATTAGTAATTTTAATAAATGTGCCAAAGGATGTGTCAATCAATATGCTCCAAGGGTGTCCTCTGGGGCTGTCACCAGGAGTGGCGGTGAGCAGGGCAGGTGCTCCCGGAGGACCTGGTCTTGGGGTATGTAGGGGTCAGAGGTCATAAAGCTGGGCTAGAGGAGCAGAGAGAGGTGCAGCTCGGGAGGGTGGTGGCCTCAGAAACTTGGGAAGGACATTTAGGCAGAGGGAACTGCACGAGTGGAGGCACAGAGGCCTGAGCCAGAGCTGCTCACGTGAGGCAGTGCAGGTAGGGCTCCTAGGAGTGTCAGGGGGGAGATGGGGCTGGGAAGCAGGCTGGGGCAAATCGGGAGGGTTAGAGATGCTATGCTAAGCTGGTCCCTGAAGAATCTAAAGCTTAGAAAGAATATAAACAGAGAAGCAAGCAAGCTTTGAACACTGGGGAGAACCCATTCGGGGTCCGATGTGGAAGGTGGATGGAGGGCTGGAGCAGGGACAGAGACCAGGCAGGGAGTCATGTGGCAGCCTGCGCCCAGATGGCAGGACCTGGGGAGGCGGAGCTGAGGCCACAGACGTGGGACGAGGTGATGGTCACTAAGGAGGGAGGGTCAGTGAGACTGGGGGATGGCGATGGAAATGCCAGGCGGTGACTAATTAGACAAGAAAACCACTTACACAGAGAATACAGGAGGAGGGGCTATTCCAAGAGGACGAATCAGGAAAGGGGCCACTAAACACCGGCCGCCTTCTCTTACAATCGATGCCTGCGTAATCTATACAACAGTGTTTCTATCTGTGAACTGCTTATGGAACAGCGAGTAATTTCTACGCCTTTTCGCCTACCTCAGACCAGGTGTTCCTGAAATGGGCCTGGGGCTTCACTAGCTCTGCACCTTCAGTGCCCATTGTAATTTCTCACGGGGTAAACACAGCACAGTGTTGACCATGGCTGAGGGATATGTCTAGAGACCCACTTGGTTTTGGAACCATGAGCCGATGGGTTTCCTGGAGGATGAGAACGGCTAAGGAGAAAAGTGGACCAACTGTGCACACACCCAAGGCACCCACTCAGGGCTGCTAACAAGTAATGAACGTGTAATCCCGTTAGCTGCTGTGTTTTAAGACATAAGGTTATATTATTGGCAAAAACAATCAACGAGGGCTCTACAACATGGTTTTTAAAATAATGGGCATTTCAGAGTTATGGGGCACTTCTAGAGGGCACAACGGGTTTTATATTTTATGAAATCAATGAGATATTAATTCTCTAATTCTGAGTGGTACAAACACCCTACACTTGGCTGATATTTTTCTAAGCAAATCATTCAGTGATTTGGTAAAACACTGTTTTGACTAAATCTTAAATATAGTTGGTTCAGTCTTGTGTGATGGCAGATGCCACATGAAATAGTGTTTCCTTGCTTTAGAAGCACTTTATTTGGCTGGAAAAGGCCTGGGTTGCCTGCTGTACCTGCCAGGCTGAGCCCAACACAGCCAAGAGACCTGGCCTGAGGCCTGGGAGGCCTGCGTTTGGATCCCAGCACGAACCTTGTGTGACCAGGGGACGTAAGACTGCTACCCAGAAATGCAAACCCTCCCCTTACAATATTCCTGATGAGGCCTCTCCTTTTCTGAAAGGCAGTGTCATCAAACCAGTGTGTTAAAATGCACATACTCGGGGGTGGGGGTTGGCGGGTGGGGGTGGGATCTTGAGTGAAAATGTCCCAATGGGCTTCTTTTCCCCTTTTCCTGACTCTTCAAGGGGGCCCTTTGCAGAAACACAGTGCTTACACCAATGTGCGAAATGCTTCTACAAATATTTCACAGGACTTAAGAGGCTTAGAATGAATTTCTGTGACATACACAGAAGACTCTATTAGAAATACCAACATTATCATGAGGACATTTGCATTTATGATAAAAAGCCTGGTTATCACTATAAAATTACCTTCTGAATAACTCATTTGCAATTATTGACATGATGATTTTTTTTAACAGATTCCATGTTCAATTTTAGACCTAAAATTACTTTTCATTTAGAACTAGATATATTTAACAGGTGGGATCATTTTTAAGGGAAAAAAGTGATACTAGTTCATTAACCAAGCATAAAACCTAGAAGAGCTCTCTGAAAGTCACTATCACCCCCCCGGTATGTACCCCCATGTCTGGGGACACTGTCAGAACGTGCAGACACAGAAAAACACAAGGGCTTCATAATTTAGTGGGCGTGAGTTTTGTTTTTAATGCTGTCCTTTAAAATAGCTCTGAGTTGCCTTGCTTTGCAATCTTGAAATGTGATTTCTTTACTTTTCTCTTCAAAGAGGTGTTAGCATAGTTTTCACACATATAATAAGTTATCAGTATTTTTTCTCTTTTCTTTTTTCAAAGAGATCCAAAACACCAGCCCCCTACCTGCCCCCACAAAACCTTACAACTGAAAGGGAAATTACTGTCATGTTGAAATTGGGGAAGATGCTTTTTCTTTTCTGATGTCACTTAACACAGCGACTTTAAGAAATGCACACGGACTCTGGGAATTCAAACTGTCCTTGAACTTGTTTATTCAGACTCTAGACTCACACCATCAATGGCACATCACCATGGCTTTTCTATGTAGGCAGCTTTTCGAATATAAGACAAAGAACAGAAATTTAAATTGATATGCAAAAATCAAGGCAAGAGAAGACTGTTAAAGAGAAATATAAATGTCAACATTTAAAGAGTTGTACACAGATGTTTCCGGATTATTCTCTTTTAGAAACTATATTCTGTTGGGGGAAATACCATTGCTTAGTCAGTCCCCGAGCTGTACAGGTGCCCAAATTCGAGCCGCCAGCGGCCTTACCCCTGGCATTCAGTCACTCCGGGCTCCTCGGGCGGTGGGCTGCCTTCCGACTTCTTCCAGCCGATGACGTATTTGTTCACTGCCCCTTGGCGGTGGTAGGCCTTGGACATGGACCCAGGGAGCTGTGGGCCGCTGCTCTGAGACATGATGTAGACTTTGGACGTGTCCAGAGAGCCAGCGGTTTTAGAACAGTGAGGTGAAGGGCTCCCTGAGTGGTGCGAGCCGCTGGGGAAAAAACAGACAAAAGCTGTAGAACAGCCAGGTTCAGCAGGGCCAGCCTGGTGCCATTCACAGCACAGTGCTTTGCTCCTGTCTGCTCTGTGAGCATAACCGAGCAGAGTGAGGCTGAGATGGCTGTCTTTCTACAGGTGCCAGGCAAGAGCGCCTCGGATTCCTTGGGCTCAGAGTGCTCATGTGTGGGCCATATGTCCAGGGCCGGAAAGACGCTAAATGCACATCAGTGGAAATAGAAAGATGGGCATCACACTTAAACGCGTGCTTCTAAAGCGAGGAAACTCAAATGGCGAGTAAACATAAGACAAGGGTTCACCTCGGCTGCCCCAAGGTAATGCCAGTGCCAACCCTAACAGAACATGACAATACACTGATCAGATGGGCAAACAGGGGACGCCTGATAAAGAATGCCCAGTGTCGGCCAGAACTGAGAGCAATGGGTGCCCTGTGCTGCTGGCGGGGGTGGCAAGTCTGTAAACACCTTGGAAAGCGGCCAGGGCATTACCTGTAAGCTGTGCCCCACATGGTGTCGGACCAAGCCGTTCTGCTCCCCAGCGCCCACCCGACATACCCGTATGACCACCCCTAGAAATATAAGCCTAAAGACCTTTTTAAATCTGGGATGATCAACAATGTTTTATGAAAAATGAATGAAAACAGAGATCAGGGATTACTTTACAAATACGAAAATTCTTAAATGTTGAAATTACAGTTCTGTCAGAGTTCAGAAAAGCAGGTAAGTTTCCCTTCCATAAAACCTGACACACAAGTGTGCTTCCAGGGTTCTGAGCCAGGCTGCCCGGGTTACAATGGCAGCTCTGTCACTTAGCAGTGGGAGACCCCGGGCAGGCGCCTTCACCTCAGTTTCCAGTCTGTAATGTGGGAATTTAACAGTGTCTAACTCAAAGGGTTGTCTTGAAGATTCTCTGAGTTATTATTAGTGAAACACGTAGATTAGTGCCCAGCACAGGGTAAGCATTATATTAAATTAAGTAGTTAATTTTTGAAAAGTGATGTGTGAAGGAATCATTCATGAGCAGGAGTCCTTGATATCGAAAGAGTTTTCCACAGGATTCCTGAGGCGGCAAGCTCCCCAGTCTGAGGAAAGACAATCTTACTCTGAAACCTCTGATTAGCACATACTGTTACTGGAAAACCTATGTACAAAGCAAGTAAGTACCAATCAATGGAGGAAGTAAAAAAGTCTCAAATTAAGAATGATATTAGGATGGACTTTTTAAGGAGGTTCCAAAGGAAATAAGGCGACAAAATAAACTGACCCATTTTGGGGTCTTTGCACGTTGGAAACACTGTGGTATTTGAGAAATTACAACGAAACAAACAACCCCCTCATGTGTTCCCAGGAAGCAGCTCAGGAACTGGGGTAGGTCTGGCTTCTGCGTGTGACCCGAGCCTGCCGCAGGTCGGGCTCTAGGCTGTGTGGGCTCTGGGGGAGGGGCCTTCACTGCCTTCCCATGTCTATAGCGACCCAAGGGGTAAGCAAGGCGTGAGCAGGCACAGAAGGAGCTAAGGGGCCATTTACTGGGCGCACGCCAACTAGTAAACATGTGACATGAAAACTCCACGTGTAGGCAATGCGCTCCGAAGGCCTGTGTTTCTTCCCCAAGCTTTCTATTTTGAGGAACTTCAGATGGACAGAAAAGGTATAAAAGCAGCAGATTATCGTTCATGTGCCCTTCATCTCCATTCACTTAGGGTTACTACCTGCTACACCTGCATTAGTCCTCTCCCTGCGGAGATGCCTCTCAACCATGGGAGGACTGGCGCGAACCTTAGGACCTCACGCTCCTATATTTCAGTATATGTGTCCTAAGAATAAGGACATTCTCCCACACAGTAACCATGTGACTGTCACACTCAGGATCTCAGGCATTAGTAACACTATCAGACTGGATACCAATATACAGTCCATATTCTAACTGCCCAATTGTCCCGGAATGCTTGTGGCTTAAGTTCCTCCGCGGGGGCCAGTGAGTGACTGCACTGCCGTTAGCTACCACGGGCATCGTGCATTTTGAAGACTTTGATTTTCCCCAAGAAGCTTCATAGTTCAAGTCCAGGGAACCCAGAGTCTGGCACAGTCAATATGCTGCGTAAGCTGCTCACAGTTCCTCCCTGGAACAACCAAATTGAACATTTTCGGAGAACGTGTTGTGAATAATGATAGCATGGTCACAAACCCTGTGAGTTCTTCCATTTGTCTTATCAAAGATATTTTTCTAATTCAGACTTGATTAAAATATTTTAAAGCAAAATATTTTAAAGTGAAAACTCTAAGAACAAATTTACTGAAACCGTTTAACAAGCATATAACAAAAGTGTGTTTAGCAGTAGTAACATCATCATAAAAGTTTTCTCTAAGGTTGGTAAACATTCTAGATGCTTTTCACGAATCCTTTCCTTCCAGACAAACGTTCTTATTTTAGAGTTTCACTGCCAATCATTTGTACTAAGAGAAGGGTATGATGACACGAATAATGATAAATATCAGATAATCACATGAGCCGTTTGCAGGAGAAGCCTGAACATAGATTTCTTTTTCTTTTTTTTGCAGTTGATTTATTTCACTTTGCAAAACCTTGGCTAGGCTAATATGAATACTGCTTTGTATTCTGAGCTCTTATCTAAGTGCCCTGCCCTCGCAGCAAGAAAAAATGGGTTTCTGAATTAAAAGAATGGAGCAGTGGGAGAAAGTAGGCGAGATATAGCTTGTCGTGCTTAATGGATGACTCCGTGCACACCCCTCCACCCTACCCGTTTGTCCGCACACCACTGCAGCTTGTCCTAAAGAGCGTTAAGCCCTCCTTCCGCCTCCTCAGTATAATCCTGGCTCCTACTATATGTATATTTCTGTACTTGCTTTCTTCCTGGATGGCTGCCGGGAAGTAAGTGTGCATGTGTTGTTGGGTCTGGAGGGGGGTGGTGGGTGCCGGTGGTGGGAAAGCAGAATTAGCATATTAAGAGGATGCCGTATATTGATCTGTGAGCTGGGAATAGCTGAGCCCAGGGCCGCCTCCTTCTCCAGGCTGTCCCTGCACTAGCTTACTGCCTCAATCACTAGGCGTTCACCATGCTCTCTTCTTGTAGTTCCTTCTTTCATTCACAGTTTTTCATTCCATGACGACCACGCATAAGGAACTGCACTAAGTGTGTGGACACAGTGAGCAAGACGGGCTGAACCTTTCAGCCTCTAATCACAAAACACTGACGGCCCTAGTGAATGGAACCACTAATAAACACATTCTTGTCGGGGGCAGATACACAATCAGCACAAATGATTTCAGCTAGTGAGTGCTAAGAAGGAACTCAAACATGGGACAGAATACAGTGCTCCAGCCTGGGCGGGCAGCACGCGTGTCAGCCCCTGGAAGAGTTTACTCTGCTCATCTGCTACTTGGGCCGCTCCAGTCACTGTGGGCAGTGGGCCTCAGCTCTGAGTGGACGCATGCCACCAAAATGAAACAGAAAAGGAAAGTATGGGGCTGATGACAGTCACCAGCATGGACACGTGTGCCCCAGTCTGGCCCTGTATCACAGAGTTTGTGGAATCTCAGCACAACTTTGATAGGTTGGTCCCTTGTACTCATATGAGCAAAGTTCCTTCTACCTCAACTCAGAGATTTTAAATCTTATTTTAAATATAAACTATTAATATATTTAATACTTAAAAATATTTGAATATTTAAAAATTTAAAATCTTTTAAAAACTTAAAAATACTTTCCCTACACCTCTGTGGCATGGGGCAAGGAGGGAGGCAGGCAGAAAAAAATATTCAAAAAATTCAATTTAATGACTGAATTTCATACTGAGCAAAAGCCTATGATATAAGTTGAAATGTGGCTTTAAAGTCACCGTCAACTAAGAATTGCGAGAAAAAGACAGCCAGGTGGTAAGGGACCCACTCACTCAACGTCTGTCATTTCCATAACAGCCGTGCACACATTCAATTCAATGTGGTGGAAAAAAGTAAAATCACTCAGATAGTCCATCTAGCACTTTATACACTTTCTAGTAGTCTAAACTGTTAGGTTAATGAATGGTTAAGGTATTCAAGAAAATCTATTGCCTCTATTTATAAACGAATGTGCTGAGAGCAGTTTCCACAGAAACTTTCCTTAATAGTAATTCAAAATTGCATTTGTCTGACAAGATATCACGACATCAGCTGCTTTACAAATCTAAATTTTGAACAAGGCAGGAGAAGGCCATAAAATCCCAAGATGGTCCCCGAAATAATTTAGGTAGCTAAAGTCACTGATAACGCATATTCTTTATTTATTATAAATGTGTTTTAAGTAAAATAAGTAGGGAACTGATGATGTCTGTTTTAAAAATGATGTCTACGTCCTAGGCTCCCTCGGACCCTCCCCTCTCTGGTATCTGCTCCCCCTTCTCCTGGTGAGACAACACCCCGGTTTTCTTCTGGGGAAGCGGCACTCTTCACAGTTCTCCATCTGCAGGTTTGGTGGGATTGTCTCCAGGCTCTGCCTTACACAACGGTACCCCCAACACAGTGGTTCAGGCCAACGGACTAAGAGGAGACATATTCTTTTAGAGGGGTTTCTGCAGAAATGAGAGCAGAGCCACCCTTCTTCCTGTGACAGGAGCACAAGCACAGGAAGGAGGCTGCAGGCGACACAGCCACCATCAACTGAGATTTCAGGGGGTGTCATATGGAGCCTAAGCAAGGAGGGACCTGGACTTGGGTGACACTGAGTGACTGCTGACCTCTGACAGTCTGGACTTTTCAGTGACAGGAACCAAAACACTCCCTTAGCCTGCAGTTTTCTTTAACTTGTACAGAAGTGCCTTCAAATGACAAAAATGCTAAGACACTCGTGATGATATCGACAGGAAAGGAAGGCAGAAAAGCAGCAGTGAGCATGTGTGTGAGCACACACGTTTTACATAAATAATTTTCCACTACCTACACATTTAAAACTTTTCCAGTAAGCATGAACATATCACATCGTGTCAACAATGAAAAGGACACCCTTTGTCGTGTTTTTGCGTCAATAGAAGACAGCCTGTGACATGCACGTGAGCTTGGCACACGTGATCACAGTTGCTTTGGCTCCTGCCCACTGATTAAGGTTGGTTTGTCCACCGCAGCTACACATGGAAACTGTGAAGTCCTTATTTCTTAGCCTTGGCTGCGTGAGGACAGGGAACAGGTACAGGGGGAGGAATGACCTTGGCCTCCGTGACAGGGAGAGCTGAGCAGCACAAAGCGCTGTCGCTGTGACCTCTGTTTAAGCGCCATCCAGAGAAACGCTCCCGCCACGGCCCCAGGTATCTGAAGGATACTCCTGTGACCGGTTTCATCAGACTGTCTCCAGCTTTTAGAAGAGTTCTGGGGAACAGGCAGGTAGTAAGTAACTCAGAGCTGAGTCAGGGAGGCCATGCGACAAGAGGGACAATGCTTGTGGCAGCTGGTGTGGGGTCCACAGCCAAGCCTGAACCAGGGCATTTCTTTGCCTTGTCTGTGAATGCAGGAATCACAAATGAGTTTTAAAATCATTGCACAGACATGTGTCACACAGGAGTTCAAAACTACTCATAACTATGTATTAAACATCTATAGTTACAACAGCATTCCTTTAAATTTAGCTAGTCTTCTTTTCTCCTAGAAGACAGATGGAATTGGGAGTAAATGGCCTGCCTACAGCAATTAATATCTATTTAGTTTTCTTTCAAATATAAAGAGAGAGAAAAATAAAATCACAAACAAGTGACTTATTAATGTGCCAATTTCACAATTAGATTTTAGAGACAAAAACTTCATCTGAAGTCAGACAGCTGAGCAAACAGGTGACGCCCTATCTCCTGTGCACACTGTTCCTAGCTTAGGCCGCAGCTCCACCAGGCAGGCGATGGGGTGCCCAGGCTGCACAGGCAGGTGCTGGTCAGCAGTGTGGCAGGTACTTACCTGGAATGGGATGAGATCTCGCTGAGGTCGCCCATGCTGCCGGCAGCAGCACCGCTGGCGGAGATGGCGGGTGCGTAGCTGTGAACCGCGAACATCTTCGCCTGCTCGTCCTCAGGCCCGGAGACGTCAGCGGGGTCCGCCCACTGCTCGGCCCGGCTGTGGATCACCGACCTGCTGCCCGCCAGGTGCCCGGGGCCCAGGGCCACTGGGGGCATGCATGGGGCTGTGTCAATGCCGCTGTCAGTGGAGGCCCCTTTCATGTAGGTCAGCCCCAGCAGCTCCGCGTCCATCAGGTCCCCAGACCCAAAGTGCTTGTCGTCACTGCTGCTGGAGGCGCTGCTGGACAGTGTGTTGCTGCTGGAGTGGCTGGAGCAGCTCTTATCTCCGATCTTGAGGGAAAGAGAAACGGAAAAAAACGGATTTAGCATGCGTCGCTTTCCTGCGCTTCGCAGATACTTGTTCTTTACAGACTGAAGGTCTGCGCAGCCCTGAGTGAGCTAGTCTAGCAGAGCCACTCCCCAGCAGGCTCCAGTGACAGCATTTTAGCAGTAACGTGTTTTTAATGAAGGTAGGCACACTGCCTTTTTAGGCATTATCACACACTCACTGGACGGCAGCATCGTGTAAACATGACTTGCATATGCACAGATTCGTGTGACTCACTGACTGACACCCGCTTTATTGCAGTGGTGCTCGGAGACTGAGCTGCACTACATCGGAGGCGTCCTCTACTTTGCTCCTGTGAAGATGATTATTCTCACTCGGACTCACGAAGCTACAGACTAGACGAACTCACCTGAACCCTTTCTACTCTTCAATGTGAGCCAACAATAGCATTTACTTTGAAAAAATATCCTGCTTTTATGCTGAAGTCCCTGATTGCAAATTTCTCCTAAAATTCATTGTAAGTTAGATGATATCTTTTCAGGTTTTCGTTCAATTATTTGCACATGAAGCACAAAAGTATTGCCATGGTGTCACTGACCAGAAAATAATCAACAATAAACTGGGAAAGCATAAGGAAATTAACAAAAGCAGCCTTTTCTCAAGAGACTGCTTCTATGACGAATTACAGTGCCAGCCCTGGGTTTGGGGCAGAAGGCCCGGATGTGCATCACAGTGGCAGGACCTTGGCCATCACTTAGCACCCCTCTGTGCTTACATTACTGGGCTCACATGATTAATGCGTGGCCCAGTGACATCGCCTACATGACATGCTCTGCAGCCACAACGCACAATGGAGGCCTGAGCAAGCTCTCCGAGAGTGCCCAAGGGCTAAGGAGATGGGGCTCTGTAGAGTAAACAGGAGCACTTTGGGGGTCCCTGGGAGACAAAAAGCAGAGAGAACAGAATAGGTGTCCCCATCCAACTGTCTTCACAGCCTGGGATACTCACAGGACCTGGAATCTCAGCAAAGGGCCCTGGGACCCTGAGAACAAGCCATGCCCTGTTCTTCTAAAGTGGTTTGGCCTTTCCTTCTTTCATTCAGCCCTATCAGATCCTTACACGAATCCCCTTGACCTTTCCATCACACACTGATATTCTCAAGTCAACTCCCACCCTGCCTCCCTTTCCTTAAACCACTGTCGAGATTTGTAAATGTGGAATTCAACGGCTACTGCAAAGCTGACTCCAGACACCAGACACATGTCACATGTGTTGCTAACACTCAGCGGCAGAGCTCACCAATGACACGTGAATAAAGAGGAAAGACACCTCCAGTCAGGAGCTCATAAAATTTCTTCACCTGTGCATTTTAAAAAACAGCTGCTTGGAAACGTGACCTTGTTTGGCAACAACCAACAATCCGTGCTTTTACGTTTACCTTAAACTTCTGTTTCATCGAGCAACAAGCCTGTCAGTCTCGCCCTTGGGGCTATTGGGGAGAGTAGCCAGAGAACGCCACATCATTCTGACACCATGCACACGTCCCCTGGCTTATCGCCAGGACTCATTTGTACTGACCACCTTTCCCAGCCAGCGTGGGCAAGAACTCCCTGCACACCCCGCTCGGTTTTGGGGCTGTGCTGCGCCCTCCAGAGCAGACACTTAACAGACTCAAACAGGACCACGGCGTAGTAACTATTAGGTGGGATTATCAAGGACCAGCAGGCTGGGGATGCACTCGGGGCTCTGCCAGTAATTTACTGTGTGATCTTTCCTTGAGTGAGGCTCTTGATAAATCAAGGAGAGAGAAAAAAATCTTAGCTTTTCATTTATTTTTTATTTCTGTTTTTACCTGACCTCTAAGAGACCTGGGAGGTAAAGGACATGCTGTGAGCCTAATGACTGCTGTGTTGAGAGCATCGCAGCGGCTATATGGAGGTGAGTTTACGGAGAAAGGACTTACATGAGAAAGCTTACTGGGGGAGTCTTTGCAGCTTCCATCTTTCTGCAAGGCTCTTTCTTTATAGGAACTCAGGACTTTGGCGGGTGGACCGTGCCATTTGGTTTCTGTCACATAAAGAGAAGAGTTGATTAATTTCTAGTGTAACAAAAGAACAAACAAACACAGAAGCCAAATCAGTAAAAATAAACAAGACTGTGGTTCTAGGACTTTCTGGTCTCGCCAATGGTTATGCCGTTAAGAGTAGGCAGGACACCCACCATGACAGCAAGTTCCACTTCCACAAGCACCACCACCAACCAGGAGCACATCCCCATGACATCGGGGGACGAGGGGACACAGCAGCATGTTGCACGATGGCATTCACCAAACATGCATTAAATCAATGAATGAATGAGTAAACGAGTGACGGGAGAGGAGAGGAGAGGGAGCAGGAGGAAGGGGCGTGGGGGTCGGGCTCCCCGCGCGGCTCCTCATTACCGGGGTGTCTGCTTCCTTCCATGGTGTCCTCCCGCTCTCTGGCTCCTTCACATTCCAAAGGGCCGGGGCCCTGGTGCTCGAGCAGCAGGGGAGACTGGCACCTGGAAAGGACACAGAGCTGAGTGAGCACGGCCTTGTCACTGTGATGTCCGCCACATGTCCCATATGTGCTGGCTCCGACATGGGCAACCAAGGGGGCCGTCCTCAGCAGAAGCTGTGTCCTGGCCGAGAGAAGCGCAATGCCTGTGGCCCGGCCCTGTCACAGGAGCTCACGCATCTGGAGCTGGGGACCCGAGCTTCCCGCCGGAGTCAACGGAGGAACGTGGATGATGGCCATTCACAGATGAAGGAAGAGCCGGTGCCACCAGGATGTTACAGGACTGTCCAGGGACAGGCCACTTGTCCCTGACAAGCTAAGGAGGCGCTCACTGCTCTGGTTTTCTCTTCTTTTGGGCCCAGAACACATGCCACTGATACATCTTTACCTTAAAATTTTTATGGAAAAGAAAATAAGATTGATTGGATCGAAACTAACCTAGGTGGACTTAGCTTTATGAAAACCCAAAATATAACAATATAATCTTACAACATAAATAAGCCTAAACCGGAAGGAAATGGGCTCTAGGGAGACACTTCTGTTCCCAGGTGAAAGCCTCCTGTCCCACCGGGCCGCTCTTTAGGCGAAATGTGTCACCCAGCATGGCAGAGGTGACACTCGGACACAAAGCAACACACGGAAACACTGCTGTCAGGAGCACATAACCGCAGCGCCCTTTCTTCCCGGAGGCGTGTGACTGTTTCCCTTTAGTTAATCGGTCAATTTAGTGTCTCCGTGGTCCGGAGCGTCCTTGGGCTCCACCAGGCCGGCTGCCACCTGGACATCGGGCGCACACACTACAAGAGACGATCCTCAGCCCGTGTGGGAGGCAGCCTTCCACTGTCCTCTACTGGGGGCAGGAAAAGATGTGTCAAACACTAAACCCGCCTGACTCTGGGCTGTGTTTCGGAGAAAAAGCACTTTCAGGTGAGGCTGTGATTTACTCCGCGTCAGCAATCTAAGTGAGGGGGAACTCCCAGAGCATGGCCACAGAGCCCCAAATCCTTAGTTTCACATGTTCAGAAAGATGTTCCCGATTACAAAGAAAAAGCAGACAAGCTCGGAATACAGGCAAGCGAGCACTACCTACATGGAAGCTGTGAGCTTTCCGGCCTGGGCATGACCCATTGAAGCCCACCTGGCACCTTTCCGCCCCCCCAATGGCCCACGCACAGCAGGCGCACAGGAAATGCCTCTGAACAAATCACTGCAAGTCCCTCCCGGGGCCGGCAGAGAGGTGACGTGAGCGTACCCGTCGCATCCCACTTGCGGTCTCCAGGGTCCACTCCCGCCGGGCCCGGGGTCGCTGGAGGACGACTGGTTGCTGGGCGAACTTCTGGAAGGGTGACCAGAATCATTAACAGGGCGCTGAGGTATCTGTGGAGTGTCAGCATCTTGGCCTGGTTTGTTCTGATGTACCAATGAATTTATTTTTACGATGACAAAGAACAGAAATAACTACAAACACACTGCCACGTGTGACAGGATACGTAAGTCGTGGCCAAATAAACTGGGACTTGGTGATGCCGTGAGGCATCGGGCAGCTTACGGCGGCCACTTTGTCACGGGACAGATGTGGCAGGAATCAATCAGCCTTCGCATCACAGACTCAACGCAGATCGTGACTCAGTGACATAGGGAGAAACAGCAATTGACCCCCAAGACTTATGAAAACATCGCTACTAATGGGTTGTTGGAAAACTCATGATGTATTTTTTCTGTTTTTTGTTGCAAAAATGCATCATGACTTTTCCGACAATAGAATACTTATCTATGAAACTTAACGTGAGGCACGTTGTGGTTCTATATTTAAAACCTATGCATGCAGAGAGAAAGGCTAAATTTGGCAAAAGCATTTATTTTCCCACATCTAATTGAACGCAATCCTGTTTATTTCAGACACACACAGATGAGTAATACTCATGAGAGCTCACTTGAGGGAGATGTGTGGTTGCTGGCTTTTAATTTGCTACTAGAACCCGTCTGCTTTTCCCTATAATTTGCTAAAACCTACTTTATTAAGGGAGGTTCTGCAGACCCCTTCCTTTCCAGATGTCGCCCTTTTCATCTGGGCTACCTTTGTGCATTTGTTTATATATTGGGAGCGGGGCGAGGGGTGATAAACTCAGCAGACCTTGGAGTAAGGAGACCCAGGGCCAAGCTGATTTAATGTCCGGTTAAAGTAACATCATCCCTCACAGACTCTGGAAGGAATAATGGGAGAAAGCAGAGGAAGACCAAATGTTTTTACTTTTCAACTAATTATTATTAATACCTATACAGGCTCACTGTGTGCCAAGGACGGTTCTGTGCCGCTGACTGATTTGGTCCTCGTAAGGCCCTGGAGAGGTCTCTCTTATTAAAGTTTACTTTTCACAGGAGGAGGCAGGAGGCTGGGAGAGGACGAGTGACAGGCCCAGGGTGACACTCCATCAAGCAAGCAGCCTGGCTCGGCACCTGTGCTTACAACACTCTCCTGGAGTGGGGCCCGACAAGCCGTCCTGAGGAAACTCAGTGTCCCCACGGCCCATAACTCAGTGCAAGCTGAGAGGAAGGCAGTGGGAATTGACAACAACAACAAAATGAGGGTACCGTTTTGTTCACTTAGAATGAATTGTGCATCCACAAAAGCTGGACATCTTCTAATGCTACTGGCTGTAACTAAAAGAAGTGCATTCTTTCGCTGAAAAACTAACTTTAAACTGAATTTACTTTGCTTACAACGAGAGGGAAAATCCAGGAAGTGCTAATAATCTGTGGGCCTCTGAAAATACCATCAACCTTAGGACGATGCGATTTGATCAGTGACTTTGCAGGTTTGTTTTACTTACAGAGCACAGAGCTCTTCACATTCATTGAGAGGCTCGTGCACTAGTTTCTTGGGTGTCTTTCCCAAGATGCCCTAGAGAGGGAACTGACGGAGGCTGACAGGGGAGGGAAAGCTGTGGCCCTGGTGGGCGGGGTCTGTGCCAGGGCCCACAAGCAGCACACAGCACAGGCCCGAGCCCCTGTGTTTGCAGCCTGCCCCAACCCTGCCTGCCAACTTGTTCAGAACACGTTACCTCAGAAGCAATGAGGCCAGATGAAAGCCCCCCCCCCACCGTCTGACGTCCTAGCCCGTTTGACACGGGCCATCCAGCGTTACCTGGTGCCGTCGGGCAGCTTGCGGTCGAAGGAGGTGCTGCGAGGGATGGCGGCCTGAGCCTGCTGGAGCAGCTGCTGGCACTGCAGCCGGTCAGGCGTGCTGGGCACGGGGGAGGCCCTGGACAGGGGCTGCAGGGCTGGGGTGGGCACCCGGTGCCACGTGGTGTCCCTCCGGAAGGGGGTTTTGTACTCGCAGGGGGTGCCTTCGCTGTCCAGTTTGTACTCCACCATGGGGATCCGGCAGAGCTCCGAACAGCCCCTGTGGAGGGAGAAGAGCCGGTGAGAGGAGGCGCTAAGCCATGGGCACCGCGTGCTGGTGGCCACGTTCGTCCACCAGGGCTCACAGACCGTGAGGCAGGGCCATCCATCTAAGGAGCCTGTCACCTGTAGTAAAATGCCACGAGACTGATCAGTTCCTCTCCTGCCACCAGCCACTGAATTGAGGAATTAAAAAGGCTCTTCGTGTCTTTAGCCTGGCTGCTGGGCATCAGTCATGAAGGTGCAGACGTGGGGGACCTGCTGATGTGGCTGCAGGTTATTCAAATGCTGGAAAACAGAGAGCAAGGGGCTGCTGCCACCAGCCCCCCAAGAAGGAACCATAAGGAGTCCCACCTGTCACAACGGAGGCCCTGCAGGTTGTTCAGTGATTTAAATACGCTGCTGGGATAACGGCTCCTGTCCACAGGAGTCGGGGCGGAAAGCCCAGAGAGGGTAAATGCCTTGCTCAAAGTGACCTCACAGAGCCAGACTGGCCTCCTGGTCACCACAGTCCTGCCTAAGGACCCTAGAAATGAGACACCCCAAACTTCCGTTAGTTACTTTTAGGGATAAAGGCAATGTCTGTTATCTTGTTGGTGGGGACTGTTTCACACAAGTGACAAAACTCAACTGTATTTGTTACACACGTGCCGTTAAGTGTATATTCATTATACTCAACAAAGTTGTAAAAAAGAACTTATTAAAAATGACGAAAGTGTCCCTTTGCCCTGAAGCCTTTGGTTAACTGCAGCACACAGGAAGCCAGTCGACTCAGTGACCAGAGGACCTGGCCATGTCCAAAGCCCTGTAAAATCGACTTTCACCTGAGCTTTGGAAATGTTGGGGGCGTTGGCAGGTTCTAACTGGTTTCTGTCTGTTGCCCCCTCTTTACAAATCCTGCAAGGTTTCTCTTCCTGGAAATGCCAGTATCTGTGACGGGCTCTAAGGCGACCTGGTGGGCCTCTGCCTGACACTGACGCCCAGGGCACTTCTCATGCGTCCCTCACAGATGCTCTGCCAACACAGCAGCCACCTGCCTGCCACGTGGGGCTCCTGAGGAACTGAATGGGCACTGTCATTAAAGGATGCAGCGGTTTAATTATAACTTAAATCTAAAAACTGATATTCGATTCCTCTATTTAAATATGATTGAAATAACTTGGGTTTGGGAACCTACTTTTGCAACTGTAAGTTTTAGGAAATCTAAACACAGCAAGTAATTTGGATGAAAATTTAACATGTAAACTGATCTACTGTTAAGTGCAAAATACATTGTATTTTGGAGACCTAAAGCAAAAAAGTAACGTGAACTAGCTCACTAATAATTTTTAACATTTATTGGATGCTGAAATGATAATATTTTGGAGACATTAAGTTAAACAAAAAAATGATTAAAAAGAATTTCCCCTTTTTGAAAACGTTTTTAATAAGGCTGCCAGAAAAATCAAATTAAATATTGCTACTGGACAGTCTGCTGTAGCGGAACTCCTTTCTCAATAATCCGCCCTCCCATAGTTCCCTGCACATCTTGTCCTCCCCCACCTGTCTGGCCCTCCATGTGCCCTCCTGGCAATCACATCTCCCAGTTGGGCCCAAAGCTTGGTCGGCTCAAACCCCACTTCTCCACAAGATTTGTGGACTCTGCTAAAGAGTGCCAAAGCGAGCAAACCACGGTGCACCGTTTTTAAAAAGGTATGAGCTGTCCAGGGGTGCCCTGGGGGGCATGGGCCCAGGAGCAGGGGAAGGGCTGGATTTCAGGGTCACTCAGCCTGCCTTTGGGACACGGGGCACACAAGTGCATGAATGTGGCAGTTTTTCCCTGGTTTACGGTGACCCGATCTAGTTGTGATGGAGTAGGATTGTTTGTGGCTCTGGTTAACTGACAGATTATTGCTGTCAGATGTCTCATGCGTTTACTGGGTCTACCATCCACCTAAGAGGTACCGGAAGACAAGAGAGAAAAAAGTGGGGAGAAATTTATTAAGAAATAATGCAAGACATTTTTCAGAACTAAAAGATACGTAAAATCAGATTAAAAGGTCCACAGAGTGCCCAGTATAATGAATGAAAAGTCTCTATCAAGATACATGATTGTGGGATTCAGACTCCTGTGTAAAATCAGAGATCCCTGGTTTCTGGGGTGGGTGAAAAGGGGTGTGTGTGGGGGGCAGGCCCCACGCAGAGGGCTGGGGCGCAGAACAGCTGGGTCTTTCGTAACAGCAGTACCATATGACAGTGATTCCTCGCTTGTCAGATCAACAGTACTGGGGGCCTGGGATGAAGAGAGGGGTAGAAATAAAAAAACAACATCCTGCTTTTGGGCTTAGGAGGCCAAAAGGACGCTGGTGCTACCCCTGGAGAACAGAAGGGGGATGGGCAGTACAAACCAAGCTAAAGAGACACGTGTGTGTGTGTGTGTGTGTGTGTGTGTGTGTGTGTGTGTGTTTACAGAGAACGAGGTAGTGATTATCTGTGTATTAGTAAACTTTACTTCGTATCTTTTAACGCTCCTCCCCCAAAGCAAAATTCATCTCTCTTATCAGTCAAATTTAAATTACTCTGGATTTACTGAATGTGTTAAATTATTGGGCAAACATAGGAAGTCTAGATTTACATTGAATTGCATTATTATAATTATTATTATTATTATTTTATGAAGTGCCAAGGCTCTGTAATTTTTACTCACGGACATAATCATTTCTGCAGGTTTTTCTATTGATACCACTATTGATTGATCCATATGGCCAACAACCCAGTTAGAAATCATAAACATGGGATATTACAGTAAATATCAAACATCAAGAAAGCCTTCTCTTGTCTTCCACCTGAACTGATGCTGTAAGCGAGTCACCGGGTGTGCAGGTGACCCCAGGGCTCCGGTGGGTCAGAGGCCGCAGCTGCCTGAACAGAGCAGGTTCGGGAGTTTTTCATGGGACCCCCTCAAAGCTCAAGGTCTCCAAGTCACGGAGTCACGTTTTGAAGGAAAGGAACGTGAACTTTGAGTCTTGTGGCCCAAATAGCAACTTGCATTTCCTGTGCTTGTTTGGGTTTCGAGTTTATTGGGTTTGGTTTCAGAGGAGGAATAAGGAGAGAAGGCAGATGGCTGAGTTGTGAGCTGTGTTAAATTTATGGTCAGAGATTGTAGTCTTTAATAAGATGCTGTAATTCAGCTTGAATCTTGGGAGAAAATGCCGTGTAAATGCATAATCATGACTAATATTTGAGGGAGTGTGACAAGAACTTTTGCAACACATTAGGCTGAGGACAGAATTGGGGGTTATTTCATTTCCAGCCTCTTGCACAAAGTCATATGTAAATGACCTTTTAATTCTAAAAACTAGCATTCTTCTGCCCTAATAAAAACCAGCTGTTCTCAAAACTATGGCTTTATTTTAATACCAAAATTAATTTTATGATGTGATGCTTTTATAGCAACTACTCGTAAATTGGATGGATATTTGCTTTTTGATTTCTGTGACTAGACATCACATAAATGTGACTACTTATAACACCGTCGCACCTGGTCAACGTTAGTTCTGCTCCATATGTAAGAGAAATTCCTTGAAGGATGCATGCAGAAAATTCAACCCATTTTTAGGGAAATGGGAAGAGGTGTAAAATAAGAATTACAAACCAGCCTGCAGAGGCCCTACTGCTGCCACGCCCCCGACACGCACGTGCACACACCTTGCACACACGCCTCTCTGCTCCTTGTGGTTCCAGCACAGAACAGCAGGTGACAGATCACAGCTCATTGGGGGTATCAAAACCGCTGTGCTTTGAAGGGGAACCCAGCAAATATTTCGCATCAAGAAGTAAAGGGCAACTAAACCCAAACTAAGTGAATGCAAAAAGACCAGCATGAAAAGTCGCTTCCGAAAAAGTGAGCTGCTCATCTTGCGTGTGAATGGAACATTTTTGAAGAAAAGACTTAAGTCTTTTGCTTTCCTGCATTAGTGTACAAATTCAGTTCTCATGATAAACGCCCCTGGCTTCCTTTCGGCCTCCCGAATCAAGCCAAAGGATGTGAAGTGCACCTCTAGGTTCTGGCACGTTTTCCAGATTGCTGGCCAGAAGGAGACACTCAGAGAGACCTGAGATAAGCTGCGGGGTCATGGACGTGGACGTGTATCAAGTTCCTCTTTGCTCTGTGACACATGAACATGTCATCTATTTACGCTTCTAATTAGCATGCTAGGTAGAGATCAACAAAAACTCAGCTTCAGGGTTAAAAATAAATACAACTTTTAACACTGCTTGTTTAGCCAGAAACTTTACTGAGTCTAATCTCTCTTAGCGGCATCTCCTGGAAGGAAAAATATTTTGTATACCAAGGAGGTCATAGAAAATGTGCTGGTTAAAAATGTAATACTAGAGAACTGTAAAAATGACAGTAGTCCCATCAGTCGGAGCCCTCAGGGGATCTTAGGTTTTACAGCTTTATTCTGAAAAACAATACTGCTTGTCCTTCTGAACTTAGCACTGTGGCCTTCCTGGAACGGCTTATTCCTGTACAAGGGACACTCAGTAACTTACACCCACACGCCTCAGCCCTCTGCCCGCTTCCTGCTCCTAAAGCAGGCTTCCCACTAGCAGTTGGTAGCTGCTATTCCTTCCAGCTTCTGGGCGTGGCCAGCACGGGTGGTGTCTACTCTGGTCCCCAGCTGACAGGCAGCCACAGTCCCTGCCAAGCACTGTACCTAGGCACCCTTAGCTGCAGAGACACCCAGCAAGAGATGCCAGAAAGATGGCATCCACCCACAGAGCCCATTGCCTTCCAAGGACATCTCTAGTTTCCTGGAAGAACCCTCCATTCACCATCCGTCATTCGGGCAGCTGATATAGAGAGGCCGTGGGCTCAGGTCTGAAGGATCGCTTCCACCTCCGCGGCCTCCACCAGGCCCGCCATTGTTCCCACTCAGCCCAGCTGCAGCCTCTCCATGCCTTCCTCCCCTGCAGGAGCTCTACATCAGTCAGACCGTCGTCATGACAGAGAGAGGG